ATATATATGTTTTTTTTTTCCTGTAAATATACTATATATATGTATACATATATATATATATATATAAACATTGTCTGTTGTGAAGCTTGAATAAAAATATTTCTTGCTTTCTTCCTCTCGCGCATTCTCTCTTTCCCGGTTTCTCTCCTCTTGTTTCCCACTCTTTGTCTCGGTCATTCGTACTCTCTCTATCAATGTCACGTTCTTACACACTCTCTCTCTCTATCTGTCTGTGCGTCTGTCTCTTGTCTCTCTCTCGTTTTATCCCCTTGTGTGTGTGTCTCTCTCTGTCTGTCTTTCTTTGACTCTCTCTCCCTTTCCCTCTCTCTCAATTTCTTTCATCACAGCTTTCATCTCAATCCTTTGAAAATGACAAAGGGATCGCTGTCATGACAACACTGTGCGCATTTGTTTCACTGACGCGTGGGAGGAAAGGACTGAGTATTTTTTTTTCTCTCTCTCGTTTTAACTCTTATTTTTAAGCGCTCTGGATGTTCTTGCTACGAGGAAAAGAAAGAAAAAGAAGAAAAAAAGAGTGATATGATTTCATTTTCATTTTTTTTTAAAAATCAAACTTAAACGATAATCTTTAATACCCAAAGGCATTGGCGAGAAAGGAAGCTAAGTTATGGTAACAAGTGGTCGATTATCCCCATGAAAAATCATACACAGGATCCACGTTTTCAAATTATCGATAATCCTTGACCTTCCCAGCTTCGCCCTTGACCCTTAATCCTTAGAGGAGGAGGTGGTGGTGTTAAAAAGCCTCCAGAAACTTTAAAAGGCGTTGTGAGGGAAATTCGTAGAAGGATCTGGGTTAAGGAATTGCCATTTACTTGTATATATAGATGTAGATAGATTGATAGATTCAGACACACAAACAAACAGATACATGAAAAAAGGGAAAACAAGAATCGGGCATAACACAATAAACAAGATACTAAATCATAAATAAAAGAAAAGGAACAAGAAAAAAGAAAAAGAAAACACACAATAACACGATAATGCCTCTTATTTTTTTCAACCTTTTTTTTCGACCTTTGCAGGAGTGGGTGGATCCGCGGCTTAAATGGAATCCTGAGGAATATGGTCGTGTGTATAAGATTTCGGTCCCACACACCATGCTCTGGAAACCGGACCTCGACGTCTATAACAAGTAATGTGGTGTCGTGTGTATGTATGTATGTATATAGGCCTATATATATGTGTGTGTGTGTGTGTGTGTGTGTGTGTGTGTGTGTGTAGATAGATAGATAGATATACATACATATGTAGATAGATATATATGTACATAGATAGAGATAGATATGTATGTAGACATTTCTATATACATATATTATAGAGATAGATATATAGATAAATATGGACATAGACACACACACAAAACAACCCACTAGCATAACTCTCTAATCCCCCCCCCCCTCTCTCTCTCATTCTCTTTCTCTCCCCCCTACAGCGCCAACGTCGGGAAACCCATATCCTACGGGAACACCCTCCTCATCGTCTTCCACGACGGCCGGGTCCTCTTCGTTCCTCCCGTGAGACTCCACTTCACCTGCGTCATGGACTTAACCTTCTGGCCTCATGACACGCACAACTGCACGCTCACTATCGGCTCCTGGATTCATGACGGGATTACTATCGACCCGCAACTTATGCATGATAAACCGGAGGTAGGTTGCAGGGGGAAGGGTGTAGGAAAGGGTGGATGGGTGCGTGGGTGGGGTGGGTGGGGGTGAGGGAGAGGAAAGGGGGTGGGTTGGAGAGGGTGAGGATGAGAGTGAGGGAGGGTAGAGGGTGAGGATGAGAGATAAGGGAAGGGAGAAGGGAGAAGAAAGGAACAGAAGTAGATGGATGAGGATGAGAGGGTGAGGGAGAGAAAGGGGGTAGTGGAGCGGAAAGGTGAGAGAGGGGAAAGGGAGAGGGAAGGGGTAGGAATAGGGTGAGGATGAAGAAGAGGAAGAAAAAGTGGTAGAGGAAGGGAAATGGGAAAGGGGAAGAAAAAACAAAAACAAAAAAACAGAGGAGGTGGATGGCGGTTAGATTGAAAGTGGGAGAAAGGGGGTAGAGGGAGGGACAAGGAGAGGGGGAGGAATAGGCGAGAGGAGAGGAATGGGAGAGGAAGAGAGATAGGACTTAAGAGGATGGAGGCTTAGGTAGGGGGGGGGGTGAGTCGTTTTGTGGTTAGACCTTTGATGCAAGCATTATTATCTTGTTTTTGTTGTTTTCCTTCTCACGATTCTCTCTCTTTCTCTCCCTCTCTCTCACCCTCCCTCCCTCCCTCCTTCTCTCTCATCCCCCCCCTCTCTCTCTCTCTCTCTCACCCTCCCTCCCTCCTTCTCTCTCTCTCTCTCTCTCTCCCTCTCCCTCCCTCCCCTCTCCCCCTCTCTCATTTAATCCCTAAGACAACAAGAAATTTCTCAAAAATAGTGATTCTTAACACGAGGGCATTAGCAATATCCAAAGCCTTAGGGAAAAAACAATAATTCCTCTTCTTACCTTTGTAACTCTCTTAAGACCATGGGCTAAGACGGAGCTCACTAACTTTACCTGTTTATAACTTACTCGGGCTTATTATTATTTTCTGTAGTTATTGACGCCTCTCTATCCTTCGAAGTTGATGGGAAGATGCAAGGAGTAAGGGATTGCGTGGAAGGAACAAGGGATTGCGTGGAAGGAGAAGACAGTTCTATATGTAGTTGAGATTATTGTGGAATCGGGCCTGTAAGTGTTGGGGCATGTGTGGTGAAGTCTCTTGCTGTTCCGATGACGTACACCTTCGCTTGACGCTGCGAGTCCTGCTCCCTTCTTATATATTGCACAATTCCTTCTTCGTCACCAACGCAGAGACGAATTCGCCAGGTGGAGAAGGAAACGCAATGATAAAAGACGGAAGTGAGGAGACGTAAAGGGAAAGAAAGAAGGAAGAAAGCAATTAAACCCTCCTCCATCTCTGTGAAGATGAGATGCTATGGAAACTTTCTTCTAAGTAGAGAAAATCTTCCAATTGAATGAAGGTTTAAGAGACGAGATTCTTTCTTTCCAGACAAGTGACTTAATACAAAATGTCTTTTGCGAATCCTCTCCACAACATATCCTTGGATAAAACATATGCCCTTTTAATTCTTCCCTTTCTGTCCAGTCCCCTCTTTGCTGCCAGACTTCCCCTTCTATCCAGGTTTGGCACTGGCACCTGAGCAGTCTGGTTGACTCCCGGTCAACCTTCAAATAGTTAGAGATGTAATGGAAAGTTTCGAATAAGGAAACATTAAACTCACTCGGTTTAATTTTTTTCAAGACAGGAAAACAGGTCTCGTAAAAGAAATATATTGTTTAGAAAAAAACAAGGGGTAGACGCTAGGTAGTGGTAGTTGGTTAATGAATACGATAGTTTGAAACAGGTAGATCTACTCCGTTGTGATGAAAATTCTAGTTGGCAACTTTCGAGCTAAGCCCCGTCTCTTTACCTTCATTTATTGTAAATATATTTTTGTTTCGTTTTCGTTTATTTTCCAACAATTGTTATTACTGAACCGTTTTCAAAGATAATGCACTGAAAAAAACATTTACCTTAAAATATTGCCCAGTTTGACCGGATCAAATAAGGGGGCGGCGCTAATGACGTCATCACCTCTAGGCAATGAGGTATCAGATATAGCTAGATAATTAATTATTTGTATAATTTACTCAATATTGCTATAATTACCAGAAGTAAAGTAAAAATACCCCTTTTGAAATTAATGCTAAGGAAGAATTCCCTATTGTTAACAGCCATCAGAATAATATTGGGAAAAAGTCAATTACACTTTTGGGCACAGCAGCTTCAATGGAAGTGGAGCTACCTGGTTATATGTACTTTGAACACTAAGGGAGAGGGGAAAATATGATCCCACCACACACGCACCACCCGAAATCCTGTCAATTACTACAATGTCCCCTTACCGCCCATTATTACTACTCAACCCACCCCCTCTCTGAACTCCCCAAAATTTTCACTCTCTCTCTGCCATGCCCCCCTCCCCCTCATCACCCACATTATCCCCAGCCACCCAACAGTATTCCTCCCCTCCCCCCTCTCTTTCTCTCTCCAGCTTGACCTTAAGGAAATTCCAATAATCTCTATCATGTCCCCTTGTCACCTTTTCATCACCATCCACCCAAAATGATTCCCCCTTATCTCTATCTCTCTCTCTTTACAGCTTGACATCAACGAACTCCAAACAGCTGACGGCAAGAACTTAACTCGCGGCATGTGGAACCTCCTCGACGCCAACATTACGAGGAACGTGAGGGTATATGACTGCTGTCCCGAGCCCTACATCGATATCAAGGTTTCCATGCTGGTTGCTAGAAATGCTCCGGCTTATGATTGGACGGTGAAACTGCCTGCTGTAGGTAAGTGGTTGTTGTGTTGTGGTATTATCGTAGTAATTTTTTTTTGTCTTTAACCCAAATCCGACGGGCATGGCATGTACGTATATTGTGGGTTTACTTTATTGTTTTTACATATAAAAGGCTACACTTGTACCAAGTCACCAATGAGCCAATTACGAGTATTGCCTATCTGGTCTGTTTACTCGCCGAACCTGTGAGATAAACACGCTATTTGTAGAATTTATCCATATTTAAAAAAGCTGTTTCCAAAATTATCTTGTTTTGCTTCCATATTTCTTCGGAAAATGAAAAAGAAAAACAACCCTTTAGACTGGCATAACTTATTAAAAACCTAATTACATTTTTTCCCCCACTTCGGGGAACAAATAAACTACTATTTTTAGACTTTGATCCATAATTCAGTAAAAGGCAATTCAATTACTTGCATGTGTGTGTGTGTGTGTGTGTGTGTGTGTGTGTGTGTGTGTGTGTGTGTGTGTGTGTGTGTGTGTGTGTGTGTTTGTGTGTTTGTGTTTGCACGCGCGTGCTTACGTTTGTCTCTGTGTATGTATGTGTATGTGTACTTATGTGCGAGTGCATATGCGTGCATACTCCATTATTACCCCCACCTTATTCCATATTCCATCGTCATTTTTCACACATTTCCCTTTTTTTTCATCTCACCGTATAACCATCACCCCGTATCCTTCTGCGACAGGACTTTGCATCCTGACGCTGGTGGTGTTCCTGCTCCCTCCTGCCGCAGGGGAGAAGGTCATCTTTGGAGGCCTCAGCCTGATCCTGGATGTGATGTTCATCGCCTACACCAACATGGAGATTTCGAACGCGCCGACGCACATACCGCTTATAGGTACTGTGGTATTTGTAGCGGTCTTGTTTTGTCCAATTTCCTAGGCGGGGCTGAAGAGAATTATGCGTTTTAGGATGGATTTAGAATAAAATTGATGTAATGAATTTCGGGAGTAGTTCTGGATTTGAGTTTGTGTGTATATGTATATGTATATATATATATATATATATATATATATATATATATATATATATATATATATATATATATATATATATATTTTCTTTCCATTCTTTCCTTACCTGTTCTTTCTTCCTCTCCCCTCCTTACAATCAATCCCTTCTTCTCACCCTCTCTCCCCTCCTCTCCCTACCCCTACTTCACCTCCATCTTCTCTGTACTGTACTGTGCAGTAGGTAGCGATTTCGACTAGCAATCTTGCTGACCCGCGTTCAAATCCCGGCCGTTTCTTGCACACAGGGGATAACTGAAACAAGTGAAACAGACAGCCTGACACACCGATAATACCCACTGTAACAAATGAAATAAAACTAAATTACCATTTTGATTATATTTTCCTCTCTTCCCCAACAGTGGAGATGGTATGCGAACAGCTGATGCTTGTCGTGGCCAGCATCGTGGTCGCCAGCCTTACCTTGCGGATGGCCAGGGATCCTTACACCAAAGGCCTGCACAACGTGATCAAGAGGCCTCTTATCGTGTTGTCGTATGCGCTCTGCCTTCACAACTACAAGAATATCGTAGGTTTCACACGATGGGAGGTGAGCTTGGGAATCCCATCTGTTTTTTGTTTATATATATATCTTTCTTTTCATTTTGGGTGATTAGGTTTATATATTTTTTTCTTTTCTTAATATATAATTGGAATGGATTGTTATGGTTACTGTTATCATTTTTTTCGTTCACTATAATTGGATGTTATTCCAACTGTTGTAAGTGTATTATTTTGTTATTATTTTCTTCGATTATTCTTTTATCTATTAATTTAAATTTTCGATTATATTAATCAGATCATAATAACAGTAATCATGACGACATAAACAGCTATATCACTAATAATAGTAATAACAATACTATTGGTAATTATCTTAATATCATTTATTACACTAACAGACTTATAAGAAACAGCAATGTTAATAAAGATAGAAATAATGGTAATGGTAATGATAATGCTGATTCTAATGGTAAAAATAATAATGATGGCATTTGTAATAGTTATTAATCATCATGGTAGTTTTCGTGGTAATAAAGATATTACTGATGATAATACTGATGATGGTAGTGATAATAACAATGATGATGATAATGGTTAAGATGATGATGATTATCATTATCATAATAATAATTATAATAATAATAATAATATTATTATTATTATTAATAATAATACTGGAAATAAAATAATAATGATAATAATGATAATGGTACTGGTACTACTACTACTACTACTACTACTAGTAATAATAATAATAATAATTGTAATAATTATAGTACTAATGCTACTTATAATGATACTACTACTACTACTAATAATAATGATATTGATAATGATAATGATAATAAAATAGTAACAATAATAGTAATAATAACAAAAATAATAGCAATAATAATAATCATAATAATGGTAAAAGTAGTGATTAATAATAACAATAATAATGATAATGACAAATAGCAATAATAGAAATGGTAGTATTAATGTTAATAATAATAATGATAATAATAATAATATTATTATTATTATTAATAATAGTAAATACTATTAATATTATAAAAATAATATGAATAATAGCAATAATGATAATGATGATAATGATAATGTTATTGACAATGATAATAACTACTAATCATAACAATATTAATAATGATAATGATGATAATCTTTGACGGCAATGAAAATAATATGATGGTGATAATGATAATAATAACAATAAAGGTTGTATAATTGATAATAACTGTAGCATGCTAATGGTTATTGGTAATGTACTAACGCAAATAGAATTAAAGAATGATATATTGTTATACTGAAATATAGTGTATAACAAAGCATTTTTCTGGCTATATTTAAAACAATTGAAGAGAGTTAATCGGCTGACTGATAAAGTTGATCCCAACGAAAAATATATTGTAGGAATAGAATAACTTGTGAAAGTCTACACACACATACACACTCGCGCATACGTATACATACATACACACGCAGACACACACCCACTCATTAACACCTACACTTCCACAACCACCCACTCATTGACACCTACACTTCCACACCTACCCACCTACTCTCCTGTTCCCTTACCCCACTTCCCACATTAATTATCATTTTTTTTCTCAGGTCTCCCGTGCCCACCAGCCATACGCAAGGACCTTCAAGTCAGACGAACTAGAACTGGGCGAGAACGGTACCACCCATTTATACGGAGGACCTGAAGTGACCACGAGTCCCGGGCTAGATTGGCTCCTCCTATCGGCTGTGGTGGACCGTGTATGCCTTATTGTCTACGTGGCCATTTTTACCATTAATATGCTATCGTTCAGTGCAGTTCTGTGATTCTGTGATTTTATTTTTTTTATTTTTTATTATTATTATTATTTTTTTGAGGATGGGGTATATGGGGTGCAGTTGGTCATGTGATTTTTTATTATTATTATTATTTTTATTTATTATTTTATCTTATGGATGTATTTATTTCTAAGGAAGGGGTTGATTCTAGAATTTACATCAGAAAGTTTTGGGAATATTCTTTATTTGTTTCTGTGTGATTTTATTTCTTATTTCTAGTTTATTTTTTTGTTTGTTTTGTTTTTAAAAGAACTTCAGGGTATTTATCTTTCTTTACTTTCGAAGTTTTGGTTCACAGGGTGTCATAGTGTAGCTGTTTCCTTCAGTATATCTGGTGATGTTTTTAAGGTAATTTTTATACTGAAGGCCAACAGCATTACTTTTAAATTCACATTAGACCAAGGAAAATCTGTATTTGGACTTAATATGTAGGCCAAGACATCTGCATTTGGACTTGTATGTAAGGCTATCGAATATACCTTTAAACTTAGGCCTACATATGTACTTTTGAACTTGAAGTATAGGCCTACAAATCTTCTTTTAATCTTGGACTGAATAAGCTACCTGTTAACACTTTTATTTCAACTTTCAGTAAATAAGTGTGTTGGCATTTTAGTATCTAAAATTATGTAATACTATTTTTGAGGAATATGTGAAAAATCCTCATAACCTTCCATTTGATTATAGTCCGTCTAATTTCAGGAAAAGAATAACTGGCAACTCACCCCGTGGTTTGGGACTTGTCCGATTCACTAAGTCGTTTTTTAAGAGTGAAAATAATAATATGGTTGAAGGCAACAATAAAGATACTGCAAATGAGTAATAACAATCAAAACCTATGTATGCTTAAGTTTTAAGAGTCAGGAAATTTAAATAAATAATAATTTAAAAAATCAGCTAATCGGAGTTCTCGAGTTGAGTTGCCAGTTTCCCCCTTTTACCTGCGATTACACACGCTATAGTTGTCCATAGACTGATGAATGTGGGAATTAAATAAATTCCCCAAAAAACTCGTATATACTGGCCTGGTTTGCCAAGTTGTGTTGTGCGTGACGTTTATGCACCGTTTTTTTCCCTCTCGATTCCACTTACAAGATGTAGTTATTCTTTAATGTATTATGTGGTATGTGTGTCGTTGATATTGATTTTGTCATTTCCTTTTATTTTTCCTCTTGTTACCTCTTCTTCTAACTCCTTTCTTAATTTTTCCTCGTCTTCTCCCTTCCTTATTCTTCTATTTGTCCTCCGCCATCGCCTTTTCTTACTTACCTCTTCTTTATCACCTTCTTTTTGTTCTTTTTATTATTCTACCTATAATTACCGATACATTTTGAAGCTTCTGAGAAATGTATCTTTTTTTAAAACTTGAGGCTCGGTGATCAACCATAGCTTAACTAACAATGTAACCCACGATAAAAAAAGTACAGAAAATAGGTTATCAGATAGTCCAACCCTTTTATTTTCTATTTTCTTACTCTTTCTCTTGCTAAAGATAGAATTAGTGAAATATCCAAGAATTAATTATGATGAAGACAAAGGCGATAGGTACTTGATATGGAGACAAACGTTACGTTGTATTTTATCATACGTTTTGTTTATTATTAGTAGTGTTATTATTATTATTATTATTATTATTATTATTATTATTGCGTGTGTGTGTGAGCTTGTTCATGAAGAAAATAAGTCAGGGAAATATCGATCACATAAACAAAACAAAAAAAGAACAAAAACAAGCAAATATACAGAACAAGAGACAAAATAATCGTCCCAGCTGCTTCTGAAAAAAAAGAAAAAAAATCACACCAATTCTGTGTTGTTTTCGAGCTTTACACTTCCATTCATACATATATATTTTTTTTCTCACTCAACGTGGCGAACTCACTGTGCTGGGGATTGACGTTACTACGCGAATTCGTGTTTTGACTCCTGTGTTTTTCCGCCATTTCTTTCTTCTTCTCTCTCTCTTTCGCTCTCCCTCTCCCTCCCTTTTTTTGTCTTTTTTTTCTCTCCCTCTTCTCTTTGAATCCCAGTGTAGCAGAACATCTGGTGGGAGATCTGAACAAACAGTGGTGGATGCTGTTTGGATTTTGCCTTTGTAGCTTGGCGTCGGCTGGTGTTATGATTTCCACTTTGCTGACTTTTATGTACACATTGCAGATTTTCAACCCCAAGGAGGAGTTTTAGTTTAGGTTACGTATAATGGGGAGAGACAGAAAGCGAAAGAGAGAGAGAGAGGGGGGGGGAGGAGGGAGGGAGAGAGAGAGAGAGAGAGAGAGAGAGAGAGAGAGAGAGAGAGAGAGAGAGAGAGAGAGAGAGAGAGAGAGAGAGAGAGAGAGAGAGAGAGAGAGAGAAGGAGAGGAACAGGAACAGGGAGATGGAGAGAAAGGGAAAGGGAGAGGGAGAGAAAGAGCAAGAGAAGGAGAAAGAGAGAGAGAGAGAGAGGGAGAAGGGGAAGAAAAGATAAAGGGAGAGGGAGAGGGAGAGAGAGAGAGAGAGAGAGAGAGAAAGCAAGACAGAAAGAAAGAAAGGGGGCAAATTCCGAAAATAAGTAACTATTCATAATGAAAAAGACGAGAAAAAATAATCAAGCTGAAAGTAATAGTTCAACGAACCGAGCTTCAAATCTTCAGTCACCGATCCTTATATATCAAACATAATTTTCGCGATTCACCGTTTTAAATACTGAGAATTCACCGTTTTAAATACTGAGAAGCCAGTGGGAACAATATGTAAATTAGATGCTTATTTTTTTTTATGTTGATTATCTTTCTCACCCCCCCAAAAAAATAGAGAAAAATGACCGATTAGTGGAGACAATAGTTGTTAAATGGGAAATTCACACAAAATAGTGAAAATAATGCACTAGTAATCACAGGGACTTAGTATTTAATCTTCGTTAATGTTTTACAATAAAGTACAGTTTGTTTAACATTATACGAAGATTAATACTGAATTTTTCTACTCATGATATCTAGAATTTAGTGTTGGGATTCGCGTTCTTCTTTCATTATCGTTTAAAGTCATTATATGTCTACTTTTTTATTCACTTTTTCATTATCTTCTATCTATTATCTTCTATTATATGTTTACTTTTTTATTAACTTTTTTATTATTATCATGATTTTTCAATAGTTCTATCTATGCGTCTCGAATTTTCATTATTTCATTATTAAAAAAAGTAACAAAAAAAAAAAAAAATCTATCGATGTGTCTATCAGTGTGCTGTTTATTTTCTGTAATTATTATCTTTTATGTCTGATTTCTGCATATATCTTTATAATGTCTTGTTTCTCTCTCACCCCCCCCCCCCTTTTTTTGAATTATCATTATACTTATTTCACATCTATATGTCCTCACTCGTTTAATTTTTGTATATCTTTACCTTACTTGACTTTCGTTGTTTCATTTAAATGTCCTCTTTTTTATTCTTATTAATGTATAATGTGATCTCTTCCATTTTCCATTTTCCAATTTCCCCAACCCAATAATTTTCCAAACAGGGTCTAATCGACTAGTTAATTACACTATGGATCCAGATTAAAGCATCTAATGCTAAACTAACGGATTATATATGTATATATATGAACTTTTATGCTAATAAAATGTGATTTGAATTTTGATTTTGTTTTTCTAAAATCCTTTATTAGAAAGAGAGAGAGAGAGAGAGAGAGGAGAGAGAGAGAGAGAGAGAAGTAGAAGAAAGAAGAAACAGAATAGAAGAGTCGAGAGAGAGTAGAGAAGAGAGAGAGAGAGAGAGAGAGAGAAAGAAGAAACAGAGAATAGAAGGAAATGGAGAGAGAGTAGAAGAAAGAGATGGAGAGAGAGTAGAAGAAAGAGAGAGAGAGAGAGAGCGAGAGAAAGCCAATGGTTCATTTATCCATCTATCTATCTTACATTTTACCACACACTTTCAGGAGGGCAAAAATTCATCACACACTTTTTAGTCTTATTTTTCTTATTTCTTATTTTTTCAGGCTTTTGTTTATATCAGTTATCTTTCTGTGTTTCTGTTCCATGTAATAAAGAAAACAGAGATAATCGATTTCGAAAATAGGCATTACAAGTACAACCGAAAAGGGAAATTGTTCGGAGGCTTTAAAACCGAAATTTCTTTCTCTTTTTTTCTCTCTCTCTTTCCCTCCTCCCTCCCCCAACTCCCCCTCTCTCACTCTGCCTCACTCCCCCATTCTCTCTCACATCCCCTCCCTTCCTCCCTCTCTATCCTCTATCTCCCCTCCCTCCCTCCCTCCCTTCTAACCCACCTCCCCCTCCCTCCCTCCCTCCCTCTCTTATCCCATCTTATTCGTAAATCGCAGAAATAGATAATATATATCTCGCCTCAGGGCCAATCACCCTCAGGAAGAGATGATTGGATGCTGAGGATGATTATATTCCATTGATTGGTTCCACGGCTCTACCGGATAAGATATGGGAGATAATTAGATGTTTTGGATTGCCTCGTGCTATGGGGAACCCGGATTAGGTGCTGCAAATACACATACACACACACACACACACACACACACACACACACACACACACACACACACACACACACACACACACACACACACACACACACGCTGTGACCCTTTTTTTTTCTTAATTACATGTTATCTTCTTGATCATTTAGATGTGAATGCATTATTGATATACCAGACAAACTACTCTATGGGTATTGTATTTTATATTCAATATTCGAGATTTCGCGTAATACCTGCATTTGCTGATGAA